AAGTGTGCTCCATCACTGAACTACAGCCATTCTTCTTGTGTGTCTTTGTGTGTTGTGTTCAGATGTGCTTGAGTGTTTGCATGTGTGCTTAGAGCCAGAGATTGACATTGGGCATCTTCTTCAATATCTCTACCATATTTTTTGTATCTATATAATTTTAAGATTTATATATTTTAATTTCATATATATGAGTGTTTTGCTTAAATATATGTGTACCTTGGGTGTGCCAGATACTCATGGAAGCCAGAAAAAGGTATCATGTCCCCTGAAACTGGAGTTACCAGTTCTTGTGAGTTCAGTGCCAGAAATCAAACCTAGGTCCTTTGCAAGAGTAGCAAATGCTTTGAACTGCTGAGCCATCTCTCTAGTCCTTACCCACCTTATTTTTTTTTTTTTTGAGACATGTTCTCTCACTGAGTCCAGAGTTCTCTGATTTTGGTTAGGCTGGCTAGCCAGAAAGCCCCAAGGGACCTCCTGTCTCTGCCTTTCCAACACTGGAATTAAAGGCATGTATCACAAAGGACATGTTTTTTTTAAGTGTGCGCTGGGGATCTGAACTCTTGCTTGTGTGGCAAGTACCAAATGACTGAGCCATCTTTTTAAGCCTACCTTAGGAGAAAGACTTGGACTTGCTAGCCAGGCAGTCAAACATGAAAATGGAAAGCTCCAGGTTTAGCGAGAGACTTTTTCAAGGGAACAAGACAGGTGACAGGACATGTGATGTGCACATTCCTGTACACACATTCACTGATCACGTGAGTAGACATGTACAGTTGAGATTTAGTTTGGAAGCCCTGGGCTTGCTGGCCAGTGCCTGTGATCACAGCACTCAGGAGGCAGAGGCTGTGAATTTAAGGTCAGCCTGGTCTACAAAGGGAGTTCTAGGACAGCCAGGACTGTTACACAGAGAAATCCTCTCTCAAAAAAACAAAACAAAGTGAATTTTTAAAAAATGGAATATATGGGTTGGAAAGATGGCTAAGGAGGTTAAAAGCCCTGGCTGTTCTTGCAGAGGACCCAGGTTCAATACCCAACACCCCACATGGTGGTGAACAACTGTCTATAATTCCAGTCCAGGGGACCCAGTGTTCTTCCTCTGGTCTCCTGGCACACAAGGCAAGCACGTGTGATACACATATATGCTGTCAAAACACAATACAATTAAAACGTAAAAAATAAATTAAAAATGAAAATATATCAATACAGACTTCTGCATTCTAGAAGAAGAGTCATTCTAGCAGAAGAGTAAATCTGCATATAATTTGTGAGAACCCACAAGGTAGGCATTGAGGTACAAGAGAAGCAGAGGCAGGAGATTTGCTTCAAATTTAGGGCTAACTCTGTCTCAAAACACACTAGAGAGGCTGGAGAGGTGGCTCAGTGGCTAAGAGCACTTGTTGCAGAGAACCCAGCCTTGATGCCCTGCACCTACATGGTGGCTCAAGGTTCAAGGAGATCCATTGCCCCCTTCTGGCCTCTGAAGCACCAGGCACACACCGAGTTTACATGTGTACATGCAGGCAAAACACTAATACACATAAAATAAGTAGATGCAATCGAAATTTGTTTTTATTTTATGAATATGAGTGTTTACCTGCATGTATGTATGTGTACCACATGTGACCAGTGCAGAGGCCAGAAGAGGGAATCAGATTCCCTGGAATTTGAGTTACAGACAATTGTTAGCTGCCATGTGGATGTTGGGAACAGAACGTGGGTCCTCTCCAAGTGGAGCAAATGCTCTCAGTCACTGATCAGCCTTTCCAGCCAAAAATAAACAAAATTTTTAAAATGAACCACATTCTTTTTTTTTTTTTTTCCAAATTAGAAATCATAATCTACAGCCTGGTTTACAAAGTTACACAGACAAACCCTCTCTCAAAAAATAAAAGAAAAAGAAAAAAAAAATGAAAAGAAAAGAAAAAGAGAAAAAGGAAGAAAAAAATCACATAGTGATTTTATTTTTATTTTTTATTTTTGGTGATGGCAGTAGGGGAGGGTGGTGGGGAAGACCGAAATAGGCCTTGAACTTCTCCTGCCTCCCAAGTGCTAGGATTACAGATGTGTACCATTATGCCCAGCTTTAGTTGCTTGCTTTTTGGGTTTCGTTTGTTTGTTTGTTTGTTTGTTTGGTTGGTTGGTTTTCCAAGACAGGGTTTCAATGTGTAGTCCTAGCTGTCCTGGAACTCACAGATCCACGTGACTCAGACTCTTCAGTGCTGGGATTAAAGGTGTGTGTACCACCATCACCACCTGACTATCCTTGCTTTTTGTAGATGACAAGAATGGGTAGCAAAAGTTGGAGGTATATTTATAGGATGAACACTTAAAATTGAAACCATGAACTGGTTTATTTTTTAATTTTGAGTCTGGAAAAAAAAAACACCATCTCTTCTGGCAGAGAATCAAATTTAATTTCTAGCATTCATATCAGGGACCTCATGACTGCCTGTAACTCCAGTGCCCAGGCTTCTGTGTCTCTGGCCTCCATGGGCACTGTACTCACATGCAAATTATCCCCTCTGCACATGTACACATAATTAAAACAATAAAAATTTGTTTGTTAGTGTGTGTGGGTATTTACTCAAATCTGCCTAGGCTGCTGTGTGGTCAGAAGACAGCTTTCTCCTTGTTCCTGTTTTTTTCTGCTCTGCTGTGTATTCTCTGCTAGCTGGCTAGCAAGCTTCTAGGAGGTTCCATTGTCAATGCTTCCCATTTCACTGGGGGTGTAGTAGTAGTTAAAGATACCTATCACTGCCTCAGGTTTTCCTTTTGTTTGTTTTAATTAAATCCTGTGGCTTCTGAGGATTGAATTCAGGAAATCAGTCTTTTACTACAAGGGGTTTTGTCATCTCATTGGCCCTGATTTTTTTTTTTTTTAATTATGAAAAGGCCAGCCACATTCTCTTGCTAGTTGAACCTTAAAAACCTCAGTGTCTCACAGGGTGGTGGTGGCCCAAGCACTGGGGAGGCAGAGACAGCCAGACTATGTGAATTTGAGGCCAGCCTGGGCTACAGAGGTAGTTCCAGGACAGCCAAGGCTACACAGAGAAATTCTGTATGAAAAAGTATAAAACAATCAAACAAATAAATAAGCCTCAATATTCTCAAATGGTATGCAATGAATTGCTGGGCACTGATCTGACCAAATTTTGACTAGTGTTCTTGATGTCAAAGGAGTCAGTGCAGGTCATGAGTGAAGTACATATAAAAACATTGTTCATAACGGATATATAAATTGCTTTATTGAGTTTCCTTTGCTACAGTGTGATGGAATGAAGCTGGACCATCTTCTTAGACCACAATGGATTCCAGTTTCTGTTGCAGCATTGGACTCACCCCTAATTGCATCTTTCATTCTTTGCTGGTCCTCACCATCAATCTATATAGACACATTCAGATTACTCTCATGACATGAGTTGTATTTCAAGAGCTGGAAATGACCACTCTGTGAGAGAGAACATGGGGGCTTTGGTAGGATTGTGAGCTGTGGAGACAACAGGATCAGTTACTCTTCATTCACCTTTTTGTCCAGATTGGGCACTTTGTGAGTGGGATACAGACATTTTCAGGTTCCTATCCACCCGCTTCCCATTGCAGAGCCTTGCTCTGCATGTAGGCCAGAAGATGTTGCTGGTGTGCAGAAACCAGTGTTCTTTCAATATTGGGAAGAGCTTTCCAAAAGCAGCAGTTCTCCAATTTAGCTGGTCTTTAGAATGACTCAGGGTTTAAAAAATGCCATACCTCAGGTCATCAAGATGGCTCAGCAGGTAAAGGCTCTTGTCTCTAAGCCTGGAGACCTGAGTTCATTCCCCAGAACCTATATATTCACCCCAAACAGTACATACATACGTACCAGCACCTAGCTAGAAGTGATGGCCCATATCCAAATTCCCAGCTATTTGTGTCTAAGACAGGAAGTTCAAGGTCAGTGTGGCAACACAGGGAGACCATGTTGCAAAAAAAAAAAAAAGAAAAAAAATCCATGTATCCATTCATCAGGTACCAGTCCCTTAGTCCTTCCCAGTACTTGTGCTGTGCCATACTATGGCAGAGGGGTTAAGAATCAATTTTCTCTTCTCTTCTTTTCTCTGCCCCCCCCACCCTTTTGATTTTTGAGACAGGGTTTCTCTTTGTAACAGTGATGGCTGTCCTGGAACTGTAGACCAGGCAGGCTGGTTCTTGAACTCACAGAGATCCACCTGCCTCCCTAGTGCTGGAAATAAAGGCATGCCAACACTATTTAGCCCAGCATCAGTTTTCTTAAGTATAGTCCTCAGGACAGGTTAATCAGGTTCTATGCAGTCTTGTCTTACCTTGTGATGGGTTACCAAGATGCTTTCCCACAGTGGGGAATGAGGGCTCTGATTTCTCCATATCTCTGCCAATACTTGCTGCTTTGTTTTGTTTTCGGGGAGTGGGAACAGTGAGATGAGGAGATGTGCAGAAAGGAGAGCGAAATGTGTGACTAACTGGCTTGTGGACCCTGGCGGGGGTCTGAGTGCCCACTATTCTGATGTCAGCACAGTGCCGTTTGTAGGGCTATATCCCTTGTGAATGTTAACCAGAGATAGAGCCAGTGCTATTGTCTTCCAGTTGTCTTTTCTTCATCCCTTTGGTCTTTATTAAATTCATCAATTTTGCATTGGCCGATGACTGTGACTCAGCAGGTAAATGTACTTACCCCACAAGCCCAATAATCTGAGTGCAAAATAAATAAATAAAAGGGAAAAACAGACCTGTTGTCCACTAGCTTACATTAGAGTGCTGTGGCATGTCCCTCCATGCCCCCCCCATCACACACACAACACACACACACAAAAGTTAAAAAAAAAAAGTTTTCAATCAAAATTAGCCATTTCTTTTCTGTTAGCAGTCGGAAATGGGTTATTTGAAATGTTGATTCTGTCTTCTTGACTATATTAAAATATTTCACTTGAGATACTGGCTTGATTTAAAAACAATAATAAAACCAAGTTTAATTGGGCTTTGTAGGAAGAAGATGTTAAAAACTATAAGCAATCTCCCCAGTAATGGATTTCTGTCAAGAAAGTGAGACTATTGTAGGAAATAATGAAAATGAGAAAACTCAAGGCGTAGAAGAAACTGCACTATCTTTAAGTTGTCCAGATGAGAGAAGTGAAAGGAATCATGTTTGCTGTCTTCTCGGTGTCAGCGATCTCACGTTGGAAGAAGATGAGCGGGCCATCGAGTTTGCCATCAACACTGGGTGGGAAGAAGCCGTGAGTGTCTTCTTGGGTCTTTCTCACTTGGGTCTTTGCTGCAGATGTTTTTCCAAAGTAGTTTATGGTACCGAAAATGTTGGAGTGAATATGGGAGCCTTGGGACAGAAGTGAAATGGATTGACAACAGTGTATTTCATGGGCACACATGGGACAGCTTTACAAGGACAGCTAAGCATTTAGTTATTCTTTCAACATTAAGTAGTAATCTGAGGCCTCTGTGAATGAGGATGCTGAGGCACCCAGTAGGCAAAATGTGGTACACAGAGATCACTTGATCAGTAATTGGGCAAAGAGGACCAGAATGTTTCTGGTCATAGTTCCCATCGGCTATATCTTATATCTTTCTTGTTTCTAGAGCCCTAAGGTTTCTCAGAGCCAGGAGTGGAAGCTGACATATGACAGGTGCCTTGTAGCACAATTTCATAAAGAATGCGGGGCCTTGTGACAAAGTTGGTTGAACTGTGAGCCAGCAAGATGGCTCATCAGGTAGAGGCATATGCAGTGCAAGTCTGGAGACCTGAATTTTCTCCCTGGAACCTACAGAAAGGTAGAAGGAGAGAACTGACTCCACAGAATTCTTTGACCTTCACACTCATACTGTGGCATGCTCATCCACACATAGATCATGCATATCTGTATGAATTCACATACATATACCTTCTCTTTCTAAATGAAAATTTTAAATAATAAGGAAACTTTGTTAAATCCAAGAATAAATGCAGGGTTTCCAGGTTATACAACAAAAGATACAGGTTGTCCTATTTGAATTTCACATGAGTGATCTCTGATTGTTTAGTGGTGCATTTATAACAGATCCCATCCTTTAGATGGCAGCCTCAGCTAGGGGCTTCAGGGGCCGGTGGACATACTGGTACCTTGGGCACTCAGGAGTCTTGGATTCCCAGGACTGTTCCTTGCTGCCCCTCCAGCCTTTCCAAGCAGTCTTCCTTGTGTTTGGGAAACAGACTGACAGTATAAGAGATTCTTGGACGAGAATGGCAGCTTGGATCCATAATGCTACACTGAATTGTGGCTAAAGGGAGCTGTAGTCAGTATTCTAGTGACTTTGTACAGGTTCCACTGCCCTGTGTTTCAGTAAACAACTCCTCCTGCTAGTACTTAAGATTGGCATACACGGCTGTAATGCCATTGCTTATGTGAGACTAAAATAGTAAAGGATGGGAATTTTGATTGCTTTTTAGAAGCAGAGGGCAGGAGTATTAATGTTGGCCCCATTTTGTTGAGTAGTTTCCCGCCAGCCTGGTCCCCCAGCCGTGCCAGCCCCTAATAACACACAGAGACATTATATTAGATATAAAGCTGTGGGCCAGTTACTAGTTTCTTATCAACTAGGTCTGTCTTAAATATTAACCTGTTTCTATTAATTAAGTATTTCCACATGGTCTTATCTTACCAGAGAGAGGGGCTGGCGTTCTCTCTCTGTTCTCCATCTTTACTCTCCCCCCTACTTCTTCTCTCTTCCTAGTCTTCTAGTCCCGCCTATCTTGCTTTCCAATTGGCCAACAGTGCTTTATTCATTAACCAATAAGAGGAACATATTTACAGAATGACATCTCCCATCATCTCCTCTTTTCTGTCTAAAATAAAAAAAAGGGTTTTAAACTTAACATAGCAAAATATATCACACAACAGTTATCAAATAAGAATCACTGTTAACAATATTTAGTCCGTTAACATTTAGTAAGACTTCAAGAAAATATTCTATCATCTATCCTATCTTTGTGAGTCTAAAGTCTTATGTGTAACTTATCTTTAATCCTAACTAAGGAAAACTATAACCATAACTATCTGTCTTCAACTCCTTCAAAGACCACAGAAGGATAATATATAAACTCTAGAAATGACAGAAACATCTTGCTTGGTCAGGCACCTGAAGTTCTTCTGTAATGTTCCATCTTCAGCCCATAGGCCATAGTGTGTCAGGCAAACTCCTCAGCAAAGCAAGAAACTTTAAACTGCCACTTGTATTGGCAGTTTGTCAGTTACTTTTCTCTGTGTCCTGTAGACTGTCTGGCAGACTCTTCCATGAAACAAGAACCCTGTATCAATGTCCATCTTGCATCAGCTGTCACTTTTCTGTGGGTCCTGCAAGCCCAGTTTATACCTCATAAAGTCAAATAGTCCAGACAAGAGCAGTATCTTGTCCAAATGGCTAGTCTTGCCATATTGGAATTAAACTTCATAACGCATTCTTCGATTTCCATCTTCCTTTCTGCCACAGGTGGTATTGCCAGGAGCATTTATGTCTCACTGTCAAGAAAAACCGTAAACCATTTTACATGCCATATTCTGTAGGTCTTTGAAAGATTTGAAGACTGCCTATTCATCTCAAATACATCTCTGTATATCTAGAAAACCTAACTCACCTAACTAAAGTTTTGACTATTAAACACAATACCTAAACAAGAGGAAAAATATACATATCACAAAATTGACCTTAAATTGTATTAATAAATGAAAATCTATTCCAAAGCAAAGTATTCATATCTATACCATATTCCCCTTTTTACCTTTACAAAGATTGGTTGTGGTCATTAACCATTTATAACCAAGCCCACTTAAATGAAAACAAACATTTATAAACAATATTTGGGAATTTGGGCATCATTCTTTCCAGACTGCTTCCTGCTGGTAGGGGTCACTGTCATGGGGATCCTAAGAAGATGCATAAATCCTGGCTGTAGTAGTCTGCAAGGCTGCATTGTCCCATGACATTGCTTCAGGGGGTCTTGCTTGGCAAACCATGTTAGTCTGGAAGGAATCCACAGCTTTTCATTTTCTGTAGAAACAAAATTAGAAATCCTTTTCCCCAGTAACCTGTCCTTGAACTTAAATTTTAGAGTCAAAGCATTTTTAAAATATATAAATTGGATTAATCCAGCAGCATTTGTTTTAACAGTTGTTGCTATTTTCTCAGCAGTCAAATAATTTAAACATAACAGAATAGCATATTGTATCCACACTCTTTTTGTGCTTCCCATCTTTAAGTGGCTTTTTTTTTTTTTTTTATTACTCTATTTCTTCTACTTCTATTTTTTTTTCATTTTTTGAGACAGGTGTAACTTTTATCTGTCCTGGAATTCACTCTGCATACCAGGTTTACTTTGAAATCACAGAGATCTGCTTGCACACACCCCCCCCCCCCCCAGTGCTGGAATTAAAGGTGTGTGCCACCACACCCAGTCCTCCCTGTATTTTTAAAACCATTTTATTCTTTTTCTCTCCCAAGCCTGCACATATTTTAAAACACACTATAAACCTTTAGCATTTTTTCTTAATCTGAATCTGTCTTTACTGTAAATCTTTATCTTTTTCTGGCCATGAGTCTTTTATCTGGTAAACAACAACAATGCTAAAGTGAAAGCCACAGCTGTATTAGCTGCGGTCTATCAAAGATGGCAGTAAGTACCTTTACCACCAGAGCTGAGAGCTGTGCTCACTGCCTTGGTCTACGCTGCCATCCAGCAGCATGCTGCCAGCTTGGAGATGTGGTCACTGCCATTGCCAGCTCTTATACACACCATTGAATTGTTAGCAGTGCTCTTTAAAAGCCTTGCCCTTTTTTTGTTTTTGTTTTTGGTTTTTTTTTTGTTTTTTTTTTTTTTTTTTTTTGCCACTTTGCTGAGTCAGGAAACTTCACTTAAAGGAGCCACGCAAATCTCTGCTTGTCTCTAGCAAAACAGAGTCCAACTGAGAAAAATGCTGCTACCAAGAAGTCTTGCTTGTCTTTGTTCTTTTGTTTCTAAAACCCTTTTTAAAGCTTCTGTTAAGTTTTAAATGGAAGTTCTTATTATCCACGTTGCAGCGCCTTATGCTAGGAGTAGGTTTTTCCCACCAGTCTTGTCCCTTTGCTGTGCCAGCCCCTAATAATACACTGAGACTCCGTATTAGATATAAATCTGTAGGCCAGTTACTTGTTTCTTATTGGCTATCTCTCTCTTAAATATTTACCCATTTCTATTAATTAAGTATTTCCACATGGTCTCATCTTACTGGAGAGAAGGGCTGCTTGCTGTTCTCTCTCTGTCCTCCATCTTGGTTCTTCTCCCTGCTTCTGCTCTCTTCTCCTAGTCTCCTAGACCCACCTATCTTGCTTTCCAATTGGCCAACAGTGCTTTATTTATTAACCAATAAGAGAAGCATATTTACAGAATGACATCTCCCATCATATTATAAGTTTATGGCCAGCTAGCCTACATGGAGAGAGGGAGGGGGGAGAGACTGTGTGTATTTAAGATAAGTCAATTTTAAGGAAAAAATGTGGTTCAAGTAAGACTTTCAGAACAGGAATGTTGGCCAAAATGGGTGAAGTAGAGCCCTGGCACAGCTAGCTAGAGGGTAACATGCTATTTTCTTTGCAGGTTCACGGTTGGGGAAGGACCTCACCAGCTGCCTGCATCTGGTCAAGGAAGAAAGTGAAAAGGGGGCGGATAGGAGAAGGCACTGGTAGCAGCAGCAATTGCTTGTTTTGCATGAGTCTTTCTCAAGGGAGTCTGGACATTCATTCCCTGTCAGTGGTTGGGAAATTGGAGGCTGGTGCTGTGGCTGAGATGAGCCCCGAGAAGAGCTGGAACCCTGAGAAGAGCTGGGACCACACCTCCCAGACCCCTAGCACTACTTCCAGAGAGCCTAACAAACTCTGCTTTCCCACATATATGCATGGAGAAAAAAAAAGCCTGCAAATCAAGGAATTTATTTGGTGCATGGAAGAATGGGCCATTCCCGAGACAGTTAGCAGCAAGACCTGCAGAAACCCCTGTGGAAGCACTGACCGGAGCCTCTCCATCTCTGACTCCCTGACATCCAAGGCCCTCATGGTTCTGCCTCCACTGAAAAGCTCTACCCCCAACAACTTAGATACCCTAAGTAAGAAGAATAACGATATTTTCTGGCAGCCGGAAGAAAAGGCAATAAGGGTGGAAAAGGATGAGTGTGTGGCTTGTACAGATGGATTGAAAACAGTTGATGGGAGAGGTGAAAAGAGACACTTTGAGCTGGCCAGCCACCTGAAGGTCACCGATATACTGCCTTTCCCTCCGCCTGTGGCCCAGACTCACCTGCTGGCAGCAGAGTCCCAGAAATGCTGCCTGCACTGGTCCCTCCTGCCCCAGAAAAGCTCTATGTACCCATCCAAGCCCACCAACATCCACTATCTTGCCACCTTGCAGCTTTTGCATAAACAGAGAATGCAAAGCTACAGAACCAGGCTCAAAGCCAAGGAGCCCAGACCTTCCAGGAACAAGCACATTCTCACAGAGGCCAAGCAGGCAAATAGGTCCCAAACACTATCAAATAAGATGTTCTCCAAACCGCTTTTGCCATCCCTCACAGTGAGCAGGGTTGTCATCCCCGTCTCTACTCACAGAGTCCTCTGATTTATCACAATATAATTTCCTGGGAATAAGTGCTGCCTGGAGCTCATTTGTTTCCCCACCCCCTCTCTCCCACCCTCTCCTTTTCTCATCTATGCTTCAGCATTTTTTCCTTTCTCTTCCCTTCTTTCTCCTCTCCAATCATCACTCCTCATCCATTCCTTTTTTTTTTTTCCAATAGCAGAACCAGGGGAAATTGAACAGATTTGAATGGGTTTGGATTCATTCTCCTAAAATAACCTCTTGAGCTAGGTGTGGTGACATACACCTATAATCCTAGCATTTAGGAGACTGAGACAGGAGGTTGCTAAAATGTTCACGGCCAGCCTGGGCTATACAAGACTTTTTTTTTTCCCCCTTTAAAAACAAAAAACCCCACTATATTCATGTTACCTGCTTCTGCTGCTAAACCAATTACAACATTAAGTTGGGCCAGCCTGTGTTGGCCTTCTCCTTCCTTACCCTGTGGCTCCCATGGTGAGAGGTAGAGTGTTGGGAAGACAGTTTGTGCTGCTCCCACTCTAGCAGCCCAGGAACCACCCGACAGGGGTTCTGCCCACAACAGTGCCTTGAGCTTAGAGAGGACACCCAGTGTCCAAGGTGCTGTATCTTTGTATTGCATTCAGAGACATACATTGTCCAGTGCCTCAGCTGCCTAGGAGGTCACGTCCTCATACTGCAGCCTTGGGCTAATCTCTGTGCCTGGAAGTCTTAGTCACAGATTAATAAAATCCAGCCTGGGGAGCAGGTTAGGATTAACTTTGTTTGGGGAGAAAATTTCACTGAGCATTGTGACCTGGCCTGACCTTCCTTCTCCAGCCTTAACTTGCCTCTATTATTTGGGAACCCTTAGCCTTTAGACAGTTAGGGAATGAAGCTGTTACTTTTTTCCTTCTGTCTTCCCTCTTCCCTTATCTTATTTTCACCAGTGCATAGATCCCTAAATTGTATATTAAATGTAAATGGATTACATTTTAATGGCAAATGGTACTGCTATGTGGACAGATGCTCTGACCATTTTGTGATAACAGTAATCATTAAACTGCTTTGAAATAACATAGTTTGAATTGCTTAGAGTAGCCTGTACTTGAACTCTTAGATTTTTTTCCATCTCCTCAGTGATGTCAGAAAATAACTGTAGACACCAGGTTTCCGTAATTGGTCTCTAACAGGTTGTCTGTTAGCCTAGGTTTTATTTTTGTTTTCATAGTTTCTGGTATTTTGGTTTCATAGAGTTCACACTGGCCTTGAGGTAGCTTTGGATTGATCCTCCTGCCTCAGCCTCCCAAGTGCTTAGATTATAGGCATGCGCCTGAAATACCGACAGAGCATGGACCTTCACGCTCCCACTCAGGAAAGGTGCCCCCCCCCCCAAGTCACTCACGAGATGCGGTCTTGATGTAAAAGCATGAGGTCTTTTATATTCCAAGTGCACTGGGGTCCACAGTCATGCACCACGCAGGGGTAGAGGACCGAGGACCACAAGGGTGGAAGTAAGATAGCTTTTATATTATTACAATAAAGCCCACACATCTTAAACCAATCATCTCATAGCATCCAGAGCCCGCGAGGTGTAGACCAATCAATATAAAGCCCACACTTTATAGACCAATCAGTTTCCTATAGCGCAGCTCCTGGTTGGGGTGACAAAGCTCATGTACTTATAGATCCTGTCGTAAACAGCAAAAGAATGTGACCTTTCACCTATTTACTGGCTGAGGGCAGGGTCTGGAATTTAAGGTTTAAACTTCTAGCTTCCTGGGGTCATTGGAGAGTTAGGCTGTATTTTTTCATTCTTACACACCACAATGGCTAGATATTCTGAAAAACAAAAAATGCTAGCCAGGAATGGTAATAGAAGCTTGCAGTCCCAATACCCAAAAAGCCAAATAGACCTAATGAACTAAGGAGAAAAGGAAAGGCCACAGCATAGGGTCAGGAAGATAATGATCATGCTAACTGGTGGATACTGACCACCAATCTAGAAAGAATTGTTAGAGATTCTATCCCTGCACCCCCATCTCCAAATAAGAAAGCCACCTGATCTGTCCCAAAGACAAACTGGGTATCTCAGTTTCTGGACATTGCTCATGTCCTGGGCCTTTTCTAAAGCAGCAGAAGCATGAGTAAGCTCTAATGTAAAGCAGGCAAAAAGCATGTACTGGGAGAGCAGCCACCAGTAATGGGTGGCTGCTGCGCCTGCACAGCAGGGGACCAAAAAATCTGCGGAGGATGTCGGGATTAACAATACAGGACTCTTGCTTGATGTTAAGAAGGCTCTTTTTCCTTTTATTTTACTCCAGGGGCTGCCTTATATAACCTGGCACCAGATGGAGGAGGGGGAAGCGGAGGGGGGTTGGTTCATCATCTCAGGTTCCAAGGACTGGTTAGGGTGCTTTCAGGGTTGTGGAAACCAAAGGAGCATTTTGCCTTAGAAAACATGTTTTTGTTTTCCTGTGGTTACAGCTGCCTGACCTGAGGGCAGCAGGGGGAAGTGAATTCTTATCCAAGGCCTTAATTCCTGCAATTCCCCCTTTTTTATTTTCTATGAGAGACCCCTGGCTTAGGTCGTGTAGGGTGTGCCATCCCTTACCCGTGATCTGGGGACCTGGTTACCCCATGTCTTAGGCAGGAGGTTTCCCTACAAGTTGCCCATCAAAGGGGGGGTCTTCATTTCTGCAGCATGGGTAACCAGACCTCATGACTGTCGGGAGAGCCATGGGCCAGACTGAGTTCCTTTTGTGAAAAGGACTGTGGGATCTTGCATAGCACAAGAATCCCTGCCCCGGCCACTACCAGCCCCAAGTCCCCTAGAGACAATGCACCACCCCAAAGCTGTACCCAACCTCTGATCTGGGCCATGACCTTCCATTAGCCCTCTGCTGAAATAGGAGTAATTCATGTCTTATTGACCTCTACTATCTGGTGAGCCAAAACACTGGTAAAGTTTACAAAAGACGAGGCCCCCTGCCAAGTATGCATTGAGGGGGTTGACCCCTACAGAGACATTTGCATTTCAAACAAGGTGACACAAGAGGAATGACAAAGTGTGAGCAGGAGGCCTGCTATACCAACTTGTTCTTGAAGTAAGGCAGTTTGCTGATTTAAGGACTCCAAACTGAACTTGAGCATTCAGGGCATTCTGTGTAGCTAGAGTTTTGCTGATTCTGCCTGCCAGCTGGTTAACAGTCTCTGCTTTGACCATAGACTGAGTGACAGCAATCCCTGCAATGGCAGCAATCGCTGACACAGCAATGGCAGAAATGATGGTAGCAGTAATATCAAAGTCCCTTCTTGGTGGTAGAGGATAATCTCTTCTCCCCCCAAGTCGGTTTTCTATCACCATAGGGGCGAGGGCAGGAACTCGAACTACCAGGGCACTGGTGTCCGTTGGGGACCAGCAGTTGCTCAGGAAGCAGGTTCTGGAAAAACAATTGAGAGATTCTCCCTCCCCCAAGGACCCATTAAAGGTGGAGCACAGTGTCCCCAAGGCAAGGGCTATACAAGTCATAATTTGGGGGGGGGTAGCTTCCAGCATAGGGGCCTGGATCTAGGGGGCCATATAGTAGCATTTTCCTGTTCCCACTGGAAGTTTATGGTATAGGACCTCTCTTAAGTCCCAAGCAATTGCTCATACTGGCATTGGGGTGAAAATCGGCAATGGAAACATTACTCAAAACTATGCATGACACCGAGAATGACCCATTGGGCAACTGAGAAACATTAAGCACTCTCTGGAAGCAAAGGCTCCCCTGTGTCAGGAAGGTCAAATTACTCAGTAATGAAGTTTCCAGTAGCACATTGGCAGCTGGTAGTCCCAAGGAATGATTGGAAAAGAAAGAGGGAAACAGGGAGCTCTCCTGACTAACTGGCATCAGGACGGGTGGGGGGTTGGAAGGGGTTCCTCACCAAGGCCCAAACCATCCGTCCCTCCATGGGCCAGAGATTAGAGTAAAGCAGGTCTAGATTCCGGATCAGGATCCACAGGGCGAACATGTTCTGGTATCCAAATAGGTTTCTCTGTTCCTGGGGGGAAAAACACAAACAGCCCCTCGGACCCTAGCTAAGCTAATAGGAGGGTGGGCGGTTGCCATTGTCCTGTAATTATGTCTTTCCATCTGACCCATCCCAATGTTTGAGAGGGTTTGTTTCAATGTCTCTCCATGGCAGACAAGTTATTTTTATCTATAGTCAAAAAATGTTAAATATAAAGTATGGTAGATAATTGAGAATTGGGGGAGGTCCTATATTCTCCCTTTTATATTTTATTAGAATATTGTTTAAGGGTGGCATGAGTGCATTCCACGATGAGTGTAGAGACGCAAAAACCACCTTAGAATATGTACCCACAGAAACATGCATATATTTTAATTTTCCTGCTTGAGGCAGGTGGGTGACATCCATTTGCCAAAGATTGTTAGCCCTTAGTCCTTAGGGATTCACCCCCTCATTGGGGGAATTATGATAAGGGGCGCAATCAGGGCATCAAGAAGTAATCTGAGTGGCAACAGGTAAGGAGTGGTTAGTATGAAACTTAAGAGAGCGTGCATTTATGTGGTACCGCTCATGAAGCTGGCGAGCGTGTTGCTCCTCTGTGAACATGACTATTGGGGGCTGAGTTAAGGAATCAGCAAGTTGATTGCCCAGGCAAGGGGTCCTGGGAGGCCTGTATGGTACATATGTACCCCACAAATGCAGGGTATATCCGATGCCAGATAAGATGTTGAAGCTTAACTAGAAGAGAATGAACTTGATAGGTGGGAAGGACATATGGATAAATCTCTAATGGCTTTACAATATTAGCAACACAAATGCTATCAGTGTATAGATTAAAAGGTTCTTTATCAAACAACTGAAAGACCATTAGGCAAGCAACCAATTCGGCAGCCTAGGTGGACATTTGCCCTGTAGGTGTCCTCTTTTGCATTTGACCAGAAACTACTACAGCAAAACCCTTAGAGGAGCCATCTGTAAATACTGAGTGCACTCCATGAAGGGGGCCCTTTTTTATAATCTTAGGAAAAATTACATGGTGCTGCCTAGAAAAAGAAAGCAAGGGTCTATTTGGGTAGTGGTTATCAAATTTAGCTCCTGTAGATGTGATA